CACACACACACACACACACACACACACACACAGACACACACACACACACAAAACCTCAGCCTGCCAGTCACCCGGTCAGCTGAAATCACCCTCCTGAAAACTCTTCACCCACTTCCTGCCATCCCCACTACCCTGAGCCGGTCCAGCCTTAGGCCTGTCCGCCAGGTTCCTGCCCCAGCCTCCTCCTGCTCCAGCCTTGCACCCTGCACACGGCAGACCTAAAGCACAAACCTCTCCCTCTCCTGCTCAAATCCCTTCCATGGCTCCCCAGCGCTTAACGAGACCCTAAGGCCCTGCCAGTCTGCACGCCCTACTCCAGCGACCTCTTCATGCTCATTTGCTGCCTCAGGTGGAAAATCCAGCCAGACAGCACCACCATGGGGGCAGGCGGCCTTCTTTGGCGTCACTGCCTCCGCTCCACGGGAGGGGCAGTAATTACACGCTAATAACCCCCTATAGTCATATCCTTGGCCTGGGGTTTTTGCCCTGGCTCTTCCTACACCCGGGTCATGCACTTTCCCCAGGCAACCGCGGCCGCACCTCCTTCGGGTCTTTGCACCTCCTCCGTCTCTACAAAAAACACAAAAAGTAGCGAGGCTTGGTGGCGCGTGCCTGTGGTCCCAGCTACTCCAGAGGGAGGCTGAAGTGGGAGGATCGCTTGAGCCCAGCAGTTCGAGGCTGAAGTGAGCCGTGATCGCGCCACACTTGTCATCTTCTCAGTGAGGGCTTCCCAGGCCGCCCCGTTTATGACGACTGTAAACCCTCTCCTGTCCCGGTCCTCCTCAGGCCCCTGCTTGCCGGACTTTTGTTTCAGGTCTCATCCCCTAATGCATGGATTTCGTCCTCATCTAGGGAGCATAACCCCAACCTCCCCACCGCATGCTCCCTGCGGGAGGGTCCTGTTTCCTACACCTAGAACAGGGCCTGGGACGCACCTGCCCTGGATAAATCTCACGGACTGCGCGGATGGCGCTGCGGGCTCCTCCCGGACTGTCGCCTTCTCTCCCAGGAGGGGGCAGCCGCGCTCCGCTCCACCCGCCGCCAGAGGCTCCACGAGCGGGACAGACCGGCTGCTGCCGCCTGTGCTGGTCTCTGTGCGCCGGGACCCTTCCCTGCCGGACCTCAAGGCCTTTACGCGGCTGCTTCTTCGACCGCAAACGCTCCTCCCCATCCCCTCGGGAACACTCCCTCCAGGAATGAGGGAATGAAAACAATATTTCTTTCCAGCACATTCCCCACCAGGCGTGTCTGGGGTCTGACTCCCCCAGTGCACGTGGTTCATTCCGACCGTCAGTCATTCAACAAGGAACAGCAGCCGCCTCGTGCCAGGCACGGTGCTGGGGCTGTGGACACGAACGGGACAGGCCAAGACACACTTTCTCCCTACGGAGCTGGCCCTGAGCCGCTCTGCGGCGCCTCTCCCCGCCACGCCCACCTGCCCCCATGCCGCATAGGTCCCTACAGTCACCGCTCAAGGTCCTCTGCAGGGGCTGCGAGACCACGGGGCGCTGGGGGCAGTTGGAAAGCAGGAGGAAAGGGACGCCATTTGGGGTAATGTTAGGGCTGCAGTGGCAGCAGCAGCTGGCGGTCACTGCGGTGAACCAGGGGCTCCCGGGTCCCGCCTCAAGCAAGCCGGCCCCGTGCGTGGAACCTGGCAGTCCTACCCCCGGACTCTGACCAGCAGCATTTCCCACGTGGCTCCTCCAGCCCTCGGGAGGGAGCAGCTCCCTGCATTGCTAATATTGGGACAAACCGACCTCCCTGTTTTTGCACTTCCTGATTGCAATACCCCAGTCACCAATTTCCTCTATTAACCTCCCTGACAAGTACAGTCGGTGCGCTACTGAGAAACAAATGAGTGTGCCGGGGGCAGTCACAGCTCTGAAAAATAAAGGGAGGAAGTGCAGAAAGGGTTACTTTTTTTTTTTTTTTTTGAGACGGAGTCTTGCTCTGTCACCCAGGCTGGAGCATAGCAGCCCAATCTCGGCTCACTGCAACTTCTGCCTCCCGGGTTCAAGCGATTCTTCTGCCTCAGCCTCCCAAGTAGCTGGGATTACAGGTGTGTACCACCACATCAGACTAATTTTTGTATTTTTAGTAGAGACAAGGTTTCACCATCTTGGCCAGGCTGGTCTTGAATTCCTGACCTCATGATCCACCCGCCTCGGCCTCCCAAAGTGCTGGGATTACAGGCGTGAGCCACCGTGCCTGGCCTGCCAGAAAGAGTTACATTTTTATAGGTGGTCAGGGAAGCCCTCCCTGGGAATGTGACATTTGAAGAAAGGTCTGAATGTCTCGAAGGTGGGAGCCACGCCTATAGCCCGAAGAAAGGCACTCCAGGCTGCAGGAAGAGCAGTGCAAAGGCCCTGAGGCAGGAATATGCCTGGTGTGCCCTGGAGACTGGGTGGCTGAAGCCACAGGAGACACAGAGAGGGCAGTGGGAAACGAGGCAGAGGGTGAGATGGGGGTAGAGTGTGTAGACCTGAGCTGTGCAGGAGAGCTGTGTGCAATGGTGGCAATGTCCCGCACCAGCGCTGTACAATGTGGTAGCCACTGGCCACGTGTGGCTCTTGAGCACTTGTGTCGTGGCTGGGAAGACTGAGGACATGCATGTGTAATTTTATTTAATCTTAATTACATTTAAATCCAATTTGCCCCGTGTGATTACCTAGTTGAACAAAGCATGGTTTTTTTTTGTTTTTTTGTTTTTTGAAATGGAGTCTCCCTCTGTTGCCCAGGCTGGAGTGCAGTGGCCGGATCTCAGCTCACTGCAAGCTCCGCCTCCCGGGTTTACGCCATTCTCCCACCTCAGCCTCCCGAGTAGCTGGGACTACAGGCGCCCGCCACGTACCCGGCTAGTTTTTTGTATTTTTTTTTTTAGTAAGATGGGGTTTCATCGTGTTAGCCAGGATGGTCTCAATCTCCTGATCTCGTGATCCGCCCGTCTCGGCCTCCCAAAGTGCTGGGATTACAGGTTTGAGCCACCGCGCCCGGCCCAAAGCATGTTGTTGAACAGACCCCAGTTGAACAGACCCCCAGGTGTGACTTCTGAGAGGACTCCTCTGGCAGCCATGTGTGGTGGGGGGGGACACGGGATGGAGGGAGGCAGAAAACTCAGGTAGGATGGAAGGCTGAGGCTGAGGTCCAGGTCGCAGGCTAGGGGTGGAGGCTGGGGGGTGGGTACATGCAGCTGTGGCCTCGCAGAGTGTATCTGGGTGGAAGCTATGGTGGCGATTGGCTGGGCAGGGTCTCCATGGATGTCCAGGGGCTTCTGAGCTGAGGCTGAGACCTGAGGCTGGAAGTGGGGAGGTGTCAAGGGTGGGAGTGGAAGCTGGCTCAGATCTGCAAGGGGTGAAATGCTGCTGCTGGGTAGGGAGAGTCAGGCAGGGAGCCTGAAGCAGCAAAGGACAGTGTATGTAAACTAGTGACAGGACAGTTCCCAGGTGTTCTGAGCAAACCACAGTCAAGACCGTGGACATCTGTGGCCCACGCTCCCACATTCCCCCTGTCCCATCGCCCAGAGCACAGAGAGAGCACAGTGCTGAATTTCACTTTACTGGATGATCCAGGTGACACAGTGCACAGGGACAGAAGTTTAGGACCGCTACAGGAGAAGCACACCTGGGGCCCTCTCCACCCACAGGCAACACCACAGGCTGCTGTGCCCAGCTCTAGGCGCACCTGGCCTGGTCCTCAGTGGGTGGGTCGCCATCCAGGAGCAGCCTCCAAGCAGGGAGGAGCACCCACGCCCTGCAGCAGGTCTCAGACAGCATCTGCATCTGGGTGTCCCTGACATGGGACTGGGACAGTCTGGTCCAGGCTCTGAGGTCACACCCAGGCCCCCCATTCCTTCCCAGGGACAAGCAGGGCAGGGCCCCCTGGCACGATGGGCTCCTCACTGCCAAGGGATAGAAATTGGGACGAGGAAACACAATTACCCTAGGGACAAGAAGGCATGAACGAATGTGGGGTCCCGTGGAGACTGATATTTAGGGAAAAATCAAGCTCAGCAGGGGTTGGGGGAGCTGAAGCATACGGTACAGGACAGCACGGCGCGGACTCACACACAACTCAAGCTTGCTTGGGACAGCAGGTGGTGAAGCCTCACAGTACTGGCCGCCTACTCTGGAAGCTCCGGGGAAGGGCTGGGGTTTCCTCCCCAGGTCATTTCATCCCCTGTAAGGAGGGACACGTGGCTGGCTTCTGCACTGCCCAGGCGAGCCTCTGTCCCTCACAGTGCCCTTCAGAGGCCCCTCTGGCTTTAATTCACTCAGGGGGTGAACCCAGGCATTTTCAAGGCCTTTAGTAAGTGCTGCAAGGCCAGTGCTGAGCGATGGGCCAGCTCCAGAGGATAGAGAGGACCAGGGGAGCCACAACCTATGGGAGGGGGCAAGGGCCCACGCAGCCCAGAAGAGCCAAAACTCTGGATTTTATGTGAATTACCCCAAATGGAACACCTCCACAAATAATTAGAATGTTGGGAAACACTGCAGTTTGAGTGACAAATTCAACTTGTGGTGGGGCAGGTGGCCTTGGCCTGGAGCTGGTTCCTGTGTATCAGGGGCTTCCCGGTGGGCAGGGCTGGCATGCGTCTTCCCTCTGCTCTTCCTCCTCCCACTCCTCCTCCTCCTTCCCTTCCCCCACCGTTCCTCTCCCCTTTCCTCCTCCTCCCCTTCCCAACCACCTTCTCTCTCTCAGCCTGCCCTTTCTGGAATCATCTCTTTCCCTGGCTGGGAGCTGGGGCCTCCCCTCGCTGAGAGTTGCGCCCTGACACGCGCTGCGCAGCTGGTGACCCAGCCTCCACCACAGACCCAGAGTCAGACGGGTAGGGGCGACAGCGGCCGACAGTCCCTGCCAGGCGCAGGCCCCGAGAGCGCCACGAAGAGCCCTGCTCGCCTCTGCAGGTGCCTGGCGTCCACACACACACCCTGCGGGGGCGACCCGGGCCCCCCAACCCTGGTCCACTCAGCGCGTCCCCATCTCGGCCCTGGGCTGCTGCCTCAGGCGCCCACTTCTCCTTCCTCCTCCCATCCGGGCTTCCTCCGTCGGGATCGCTGGCGCTCCGAGCCCACTAGGGCCCGAGAGGGAAACGTGACGCCGGCAAAACGCGGCCCGGCCGTGCGGTGAAGCGAGGAGATCGCGTCTGCGGAGGGCAGGAAAAGGGAAGGGGAGGGCGGGGGCCACACTCGGGCAGGCGCCCTG